TATATATATATATATATATATATATATATACATATATATATATATATACATATATATTCATGTATATATAATTGACTACAGGAGGGCACACAATGCATCGTGCTGGGCAGCAGAGCTCTAAATGGTCGTTCTACCAACCGTTCAAGGGAGGAGACCATTTTGTGGAGATGCAGATCGCGTCGTGGGTGTTGTTCTGTTCGTCTGTGGTGCTGCAGCTGGGAGCTTTAGTCGCGACGTATGTGCCTGACGATTTAAAACTTTAGAATTGAGTGTTCATTCTGAGTGTATTCCCAGACAGCTAGGCCTTTGGGACATTTATATCTACTTTTATTTGGCGTACGTTGTGTCTATTGGGATATAGAAACTAAGACCATTTGGTGTTGGGTGTGGTACACGGCGCCTGGTGGAATACACACATACTTATGGTGTGTATGGACATCACTACATTGACATACATGACTTAAATATACACCCACTCATGGTGTGTATAGACATCTGTGCATTGACATACACGACTTAAATATACACACACTTATGGCGCGTATAGACATCTGTGCATTGACATACATGACTTAAATATACACACACTTATGGTGTGTATAGACATCTCTACATTGACACGTATGACTTAAATATACACACACTTTTGTGTGTATAGACATATCATTGACATACATGACTTAAATATACACATACTATTGGTGTGTACAGGCATCTCTACATTGACATGCATGACTGATATGTCGGGAATGTTCGTCGGTAATGTACTTCTGGTACGTTCAGAGTTCTGTGTACAAGGACTGCGTCGCAGATTCATATAGCCACGTTGTAGCGTGTGAGTATTGGATTTTGTATGGCCATGTCAGTTGTTTTTTTTGTAAGTGTCCAGATATTTTATTTGTGTGCCTTAATAATTCGTCATCACTCGGCAAATCAAACACACAACTATATAAGGTCTGTCTAAGACGGGGCATCTCTCCTCGCCAGAGAGCGTAGACTACCTATCCACGACAGGTGTAAATGGGTACAGTTCTATATCCACGACAGGTGTAAATGGATACAGTTCTATATCCGCGACAGATGTATGTGAGTACAGTTCTATATCCACGACAGGTGTAAATGGGTACAGTTCTATATTCACGACAGGTGTGAATGAGTACAGTTGTATATCCACCACAGATGTTTGTGAGTACAGTTCTACATCCACGACAGGTGTAAATTGGTACAGTTCAATATACACGACAGATGTATGTGAGTACAGTTCTATATCCACGACAGGTGTAAATGGGTACAGTTATATATCCACGACAGGTGTAAATGGATACAGTTTTATATCCACGACAGGAGTAAATGGATACAGTTCTATATCCACGACATATGGATGTGAGTACAGTTCATGTCACGGCCACCGTTGCGCAGTCTCCGACGTCTCACCAAGACGCAAACGCATCCATCCCCTCTTGTATGCATCGCTCACCCACATGTTTACTACAACCATGGATGTGGGGTATGTACCGAACTGCATCAACGCATGACAGGTACGCTCTCGGCATGCAGATATTCATCGGAATAATGGCTGTGGCTGGGTTGTTCAGTTTCATCGCCGAGATGAGCATGGTATTCTCTCTCAAAGTATATGGAAAAGGTGAATGTCGTCCTTCACCTTTCCTTTCTTGTGTCCATACGTTGTCATGGAAGGTCGCCTCATGACTGCTTTATCAAAGTGTCCCTCTCTGGAAAGAGAGTCTTCTTTTGACTCAGATACTCTATCTCTGTGTGTGTTCTTTTCGACAGAGACAAACCCACTGAAACTTATTATTCACTCTATCCATGCAATATCATTCCACTCAGATGAAGTGGGGAACGTCAGTGCTCTCCGAGCGTGGACTGTAAGTGTTAGTACCGAACTTCACCAAATGCTGATGGTGACTGTCCTAGCCAACCTGATGTACGTGCCCTTTGTGGCGTGTTCTATTCCATTCTTTGTCCTGGTGCCAACTGAGGAGGTAAGAAATTCACGAGTGGATTAGATAAT